GCTGCACCCTCTACCACTGCAGCCACTGGGGTCTCCCTACTATCCACAGGGAGGATTCCAGCACATCTAAACATCTCTAGGGGCAGTTTGCCTGAGGGTCTCACCCAAGTATTCATATTTCAGGTTCAGAGATCCTGCCAACTGCCACCAGATGTAACTCTGGGAGGGAAATCCCAGATTAAAGTTCCTTTGCAACTAAAATCAGTCACAGGGAGATTAAGTGGGAGAAATCCATTTATTTCTTAAGAACAATCATCCCAAATCTGTCATGACCCAGGTACATTAGAGGAGCCTCCACCCAACCTCTCTGGTCTAGATAAGCCCTCACTTGCCCTTGTAATTATCTACTCATATGCAGATGAACTACTTCTCTCTACTCCTTGTAAATACCTATTGATGTGGGATGCAATAAGGCCAGTCAAGAGAGTCTGGAAATACTGCAATTTTACCCACAATGATAGTCCACATGAATGTAAATATCTTTGTATCTGCAGCAGAAATGATAGATAGTTGATTCAATATAAACAATAATTGTATAGAAATGTAATTAATCATTGAGTTTTTCTTTTGTCAAACTTCATTAATATATATTATTCCACTGAGGATCTTCCTGATGGCTAAGTTTGATATAGTCTAGTTATGTGGACTGTTTTAGTTTGCATTATGAAAATTTAGAGTGAATAAGCAACAGAGGGCCAGAACCATTGGCAGTAATGGGCAATGGAGTGATTGCCAATGACTGCACTTTTCAGTGAGACAGGACTGTGATCAAAACTATTAAAACCTCAGGAATCATGAATCAAGTCAGAGCACTTGCCACTGAGCAATCAAATCCATACCCAGTGTACCAGAAAAAAAAGCAACAGGAAATCAGCCAATTTGTATATCATTATGAATTGACTTAGTTGTTACCAACTTCAGGAGTGTGATGCTTCATCTGCCTATTGTCCTCGGAAGGTTGCTTAAAAGGAGATCCAAATAAAAGACAGCCATCAATCCTGAGATAGATAAATCATACCTAGATTAGGGGTTCTAGAATACAGACATCACTGAACTCTCATTAAGTCCTTGTTTTACGGCTGGTACTGAACTTTGTTCTGGGGTGTGTGTGCGTGTGTGCGCTTGCAAGGGACATTAAAGTCTTTGTCTTCAAATTAGAAAAGAGTTTTTTTCTTATTTTAGTTTCACATTCAACAGCCTTACCTTCCTTCTGTAACCTGAAGTAGACTTGTAAATTCATACAAAACCAAAGACCTTACCATCGTGCCCCAGGTGTTATAGAAGGTGTTTCACATATATCACTTCACTTAACCTTCATAACAAATCCATGATATGAATTTCTATTACTATCTCCTTTGAGAAGATTAGGAAACTAAGGTATAGGGAGGTTACTAAATTTGTCTTAGATGGGGATGGAATACAAGTTGTGTGACCATAAAACTCATATGTAAATCACCTGAGGGTTTAGCTTCTAATAGCTTCAAACATCTTTGCCAACTACAGGTATAAACCATACTATATATGTAGTTGAACACATAAGAGATAGTATCTTAAGGCAGCAGTGTCTTGATTTATTAATTCAATGACATGACCAGAGGAAAAAAGGAAATTAAATATTTGAGTCTTACATGATATTTCTATGCCAATTCTCACAAACACAAGTAGAACAAATATAAACACCTTAGCTACCCATACCATTTAGCCAATGATGGGGCCTTAGGTGGAATTATTCATATAGTTTCCTTACTTGGCCTTTTGACTTGGAAAGCATACATTCTGTTTGAGCCTACATGAAGAAAAACTAAACTACAGTGTAGTTGATAAGCCATGAACAGGTATGCTAGGGTAATCCCTCCTGGAGTTTTTTTGTTTGGAAGAAAAGTTAGCATGTGCCCACATTTTGGCTGCCAACATATAGTTAGGATGAGATTGGACTAGATGCAGGCCATTATTATACAACCTAAAAAAATACAGCAGTATTACTAAAGGAGTAGTAATAATAAAATTTACCTATGCCAGGATGATTCTGGAGATATGTTTTTCATCCAGAGAAGTTTGGAAAATGTATATGGTCATTATCTTGTGATTTCTGTGGTATAGGACCATCATACCAAAAGTTTGGATTAGCTTAGTGCAATAGCTTCTGCATGTAGGTCTCCAATGAGAAACCAGAAGAGGTTAGGAAAAGCATGCTCACCAAATTATCATTGTCATCATCATTATCCTGCTTTATATAATTTATTATCCTTTGCTGAGCATGTAACCCCTCGGCTAAATTAAGTAAGCTGTAACTTATATAATATATCTGGGGCCTGAGTGTCCATTAACTAAAATGTCCAGGCCTAGTGGAGTCTGTTCACTTCTTGCAGTCCCCTTCATCAATGGGTTCATCACCTCACAATACTTAAACACTTAGTTAAATAATATGGTCAATGAGTAATAGCATGAGCTACTGGACTAGCCAGATTGTTACTTACTATAGTTATGAATGTTAAAAGAACATCTTTGTCTCTCTTCACCTCACTCCACTTCAGCTTCCCCACTTCCTTAATGGCACTTAGCCCACTGTGTGTTCTTCTTCGAGAAACGAAATTAATACCCATGATTTATACTAATACCCGTATAAGGAAGATTTAGGTCAGTGTGTGTCCTTGCTTGCAATGTTTGCATTTTATACATTATTTTTCAGTTTGAGTGAAAAAAAATATGCATAGACTATTAAATGAACATCAGACATCTGTAAAGGGGTAGATAGGTACTGTGTGTATAGGGGGAGGGGCTAGTGAAATGGTTTCCAGAGCCCCTAAAATCATACAGCAGAAAGGCCCACTCATCTACCAGTAAGGGACTCGCTGGCACTTCAGAGGGGGGATGGGCAGACAGATAAAGTGGCTCTCTTTTGATGCACTTGTACCTAAGCCTCCAAATGGCACCCACAATATCCTTCCCATACAGCAGGCTCCCTTGACATTAGAGGAAATATCACTGATACCAGCCTGCCATATGGGCTTCTCCAGGCAGGGCATCTGCTGTGTGCTGTGGAGGCACATTGTGGAGACAAGAAAGGTTTAACATTTTTCATTAGTGTATGCCATAGACAGTTGAACTCCATTATAATGTCTGCAGGAAGAATCTGATCCATTCCATTATCACAGTGACAAAGAGAAAGGATGGTTTGTGATTTCAGAAAGGTCACAGTGAACTGGTGTTCAGCTGTAAGCACTCTAGGTATGATGATAACAATGGGAGAAAGGGTTTAAAAGATGAAGTTTACAGTCAGACAAAAATTAACATTTAAAAAGAAACCCTATCTATGAGATATTCTATTTTCCTCTATTTCTGTCTCCTAGAAATTACCTGTTATTAGGGTGTATTTATATATAAATATGTTCTTTCTCAAAAATTCCTGTCTCCTCTCTGATTATTCCCATACTGAAGTGATAGAAGGAGATGCCTGTTGCTATGGGAGTGATTGTGATGTCATAAATGGAAGATAATTATTTCATTGTGTGATTAAACGAAAGAAATGAAATGGGAAGGGGAAAGCAGGTGGTTTATCTGTGTTTCTGGCTATAGTTAGCTGATTATTATTAGTCCCTTTGGCAATCTTGGGAATAACATTAATCATTAGGGAACTCCTGGGGTACAAAGTGGTTGGAGTATGACTTGTAATTGCACTAGAATTTACATTTTACAGTGACATGTCTTAGTGACAAAAAACTAACTATATGTTTTAGAACATTATCTGTAGTAAGATAGTAAGAATCAGACAACTGGCTGTTTCCTCCTGAAAGCTTCTCTAATTTATGAAAACCCTATGATTTTTGTTTACCTACTACTCACACATTTCTTTTTTTTGACACATAGTTTCTTTTAAGCCAAAGGAGGAAAGAAGTCATCATACAAATTTATTATTCATAAGTCATTTTCCTTTATTAAATGGATTGTAGGAAATAAGGAAATAAGTGTTCAGAATTACTGACACTGGTTTTTCCTTACTCTTTATTATCTGCTTGCCCACCCATGGCTTTTTTTTCTTCATCTTTTTTCATTAAATATTAGGAACATTACCTGAATTAAATCTAGTGTTAGGTATTCCAGGCTCTGCAGCTTCAAGATGACCCATTCAAATCTATGTACGCTGCAGCTCCTACCCAATTAAAATAAAAACCTGGTAGCACTGTTTGCTGTGATCAAATTAAATATTATACTGAACATTCCACCCTAAATCTAACCCTCAATATCAATCCTAATGCTACCAGACTATCTGACCAGGACCCACTTTATATTAGTTTACCATGACCAAGAGTTGCATGCTGGGCACTAGGACCTGACAGGAATAAAACTACTCCATCTCTTTAGGTTTTGCCCCATGCACCTGATACTTTGTAAATCTTACAAACCCTGTCATCCACTCCTATAACCAGAGACCTCCCAGATGATTTAGTGGTACTTTTTGCTAAAATAATTGCCCAATATGAAGTTATTCTCTTAGTAGTTATTGCTCTGAACCAGTATTTGATTGTGGACAATTTCTCCTTTTCCTGCTTTTTTCTCCCTTCGATTTGTATGCAGTTCTCTACATTTACATCTTTCAACCATTTCTTCATGTATTTTCTCAGCACTCTTTCACTCCACTCATGCTCAAAATGTATGGAAAACTTCAATTCCTTCCTTGGCCTTTTTTTCTACTTATTCTAGCAATTTTACCTTAAAAATGACATTTGTATGTTGCACAGCCATGACTGATTTCCACTACTATGTATTTGCCTGAATCATGTAGTTACTCAAATTAATGCCTCAAATTCAGATATCTTAGTTAAAATGACTTTGTATTAGTCATCACTAGTTGAATGTCCAGTGGACAGTTAAATTCTTATGTAATTTAACTCCAACACAAATTGAGTAGTGAATTGAACCTCCCCATGCACAAAACTTTCTTGCCTTAGACATTTCCTGTTTTAGTCCATGGCCACATTATACAAAAATTTCCGGCGCTGGTGCCTTTGCGGCAAGCAGAACGCAGAGCCGGGCAGCCGCCGGAGATGCCTGGCGCTCTATACTGAGGAGCGGCCGGCGGCGCAATGGAGCGGGCCAGGGACCGCTTACACCTGAGACGGACTACAGAACAGCACGTACCAGCGGTGGAAGTCCGGGTCAAACGTCGGAGGACAGCCTCACTGAGCAACCGAGAGTGTCAGCTGTACCCAAGGCGATCTCAGCAGCAGCAAATACCTGCGGTGGATTTCCAGGCCGAACTGAGACAGGCATTCTTAGCTGAGACACCAAGAGGTGGTTAAAGCAGTATTGGAACATCCAGTAGCTGATTGCCAAGTAAAGATCAGGTTAGAGCTGATGCAGTCACGGTCAGGAATATAAACACAGGATTAATGAATAGGGTATTTGAAGGTCACTTAATATGGGATATGTTAAGATAATATTTTCTTTTTAAAAGAAAATAAGTGCATTGCGGAAAGTTAAAAAGTAAAAGTAGGACCTAAATGTTTTGCTCTTCATACTTTTGTATTACTTTACAGTCATTGTAGGATGTGCTTTTTAGGTAGTTTTATTCATTTTTAAGTTGTATTGCTTTTCAACTTAATATATAAAATATACTTGATTATAAATGCCAAATATCCTGCTAATGAGTATCATTTATAATTTTCTTTTGTGAGGGACTTCATTTTTTTCTGCTGGTAGTTTGAATAAAGCTTCAGTGAATTTCTTCACATAAAACATTAGATAAGATCATATCCTTAGATATGCAGATGTGAAAATAACTTGAATCAAGGAATATGAACTTAAGGTACATTTTCTAAATTGTATTCCAAAGTTATGTTTATATCAGTTTCTATTGCCTTGAAAAATGGAATGCCAGTTACAATACACTTTTACCTGCACTGGTTACTTTAATTATGTATCACTTGTGCCTACTGAATTATAAGTAAATGCACATCACAGTCATTAGCAATGAGAAGCTAAGTATTTTCCTATGCTTATTTACTAATTATTGTTTTGTTTTGCCCTTTCCCTTTTTCTTTCACCAGTTTTGTTTAAATCAGCTGAGAATGTATCCGTGTATTTGAATCAGCTGACAATGTAATAAAGATATTAGTCATAATTTTTCAGTGTGATGTACGTTTATTTAGTCTGCTTTTTTATGTTGGTTGCTTACATTTTTAGGAAAAAAATAATCAGAAATTGACTTTGATTTACCACTTTTTTTGTTTGTTACTTTATTTTAGTTTTAAGATTTCATTGATCTCAATCTAGAGTGTAGTATATTTCTAGAAACTTAAGAGAGGAGGGGGGGCTTATAGATGAGTTTCTTCTAGATTTTTTCTTACCCCTCAACTCAAATTGATTAGGCCTGTTTATAGCCACCATTTTGATTTTGAACTAAAGGAAAAAAACAAATTTTGTAAGGGGAAACCCTTCCCTGCTGAATCTTTTACCCATATTCACCACTAATTGTCTGGACTTCATTACAAGACAGTGGAACTGATTTAAAACAGTGGCATCTGATCTTTATCCCCAGATGTTCCCCTAAGAACAGTTTTAAAAAGAGTTAAGTTTGTGCGATATTTTTGAGCCAGAAATTTTTTTTTTTTTGAGGGGGCATCTCTCGTGTTTGTTGATCAGATGGTTGTTAACAACGGTGGAATTCTGTGTAGGGGGGGTCGGTGCTCCATGCGCCGTCATTGATCCATTTGAGCCAGGAATTTTTTGACTGCTCATTGTAATTCATGTACTCTTGAAAGTTCCTAATATAACATTAAGGCACACATTATGATTATTTAATTTTCTGATACTGTGTTTTAGTCTAGCTTCAAGTGCTTAATTTTATGCAAACAGTACTAATAACTAGGATTATTCTAGAGTTCAGGTTGGTGAAGTATCTGACCCACTTACTGCCTGTTTTTATAAATGGAATTTTATTGGCACACAGCCATGTCCATTTATTTACAAATGGTCTATGGCTGTATTGGCACTACAGTGGCAGATTCAAGTGGTTGGAACAGACTGAATGGCAGGCAAAGCCTAAAATATTATTTTCCCCTTTAAAATAAAAAGTTAAATGGCTTCTGTCTTAGAGAACCACATTAAAGGATGAAGAAATGAAAGTGGACCCAGTATGGGAGTGGTGATAATTATAGAAGGTGCTAAAGAGAAAGGCGTTATAGAAAGGAGTGTGTATGAGATAAACATGATAGGGTAGAGAACCTGATAAATTTTTCTGGGATAAGGGGTCACGTCTAAGAATCATTAAATCCTTTACACATGTAGATGGTAGTTCTTAAGGACATTAATGATTGATATATTTCCTTTTCCATAATAAAAATCTAAAGCATGTGAGTGATAGCCAAGAACAATGGGAAAGTTAACCAAAGACTTTCTATACCCATGTTTCTATACCATAAGGTTGAATTTTCTTTCCTTTTGCCTATTTAGTTTTCTTTTGAAAGTGTAGGTAGTTGGAATCATGCTTTTAAACTTACCTTGTATTCTGCATAAATGTATGTCATTGTTTAATTTTATTACATAGTCCTCATAATTACATTTGTAATGAATAAATGACAGTCCATTCATGATTTACTGTTACTTGTACTTGTGTTTTATAGTCAACTATACTGTTAGGAGTATTCTGTTTTTAAACATATATTTGATACCCTAAATTTATTAGGATTAGGATCCTATAATCCTAGAGTATAAATAATAATATGATTCTTAAATGTTTTGTTACCAGCATCATAAGCAATGTTGCTTGCATTCAGAGATAATTACTAGAGTCTTAGTTTCAGTGTCATCTTTTTTTTGTTAAATAAACAGTTCCCAAAAAAAAAAATTTCCAACATCCATTTAATTTCACAACCTGTGGATATTGCTTCAGAAATATTTCCAAAATCTTTCCCTTCTTTCTTGATTTTCATAGCAATATTTCAATTCACATTCTCATCATCTCTTATTCTGTTTGGTTTTCTATCTGTAATTCTCATCACTACCTGCTCCTCTTCTCAGCTACCAACAGCTCTTCACACAACCGTGAGTTTCTTCTCTCTCAAGCACAAATATAACCACTTTCTTCATTCTTCACAAATCTCATGAAACTTGACCAAGTTGAACAATTTAGCAGTATGTGTTTAAAGCCTTAAAATTTGTTCTCGCAATTATAGTCTTAGAAAAACCCCATTAGGAAAAGTCAGACAAGTAAACAATTGTGTACATAGAAAAATGTCCACCAAATTACTGTTAAAAATATCAAATTATTCCCAAATCAAGACTGCTAAATAATGTATGCCAATTCCATATAATGAAATACAAGTGGCTAAAATACTTTTTTATAGATTTATGTGCATTTTTTTCACAATTAAACCTCAAAATATTTTTAATGTAAAAATATAACTATGGAAAATTCAGTTCTGGCCAAGATGGAGTAACAGGGAACAGATTTACCTTCTTATCAGAAATAACTAAAAATTCAGACAAAAGATTTAAAATTATTATTCTTAAGATATTGGATATCAAGCAAAGGATAGTGATCCATGCAAAAAAGAAAACAAATGAAATGAGTCCAACAGCTGCACCAGCTCACTTCCTAAATAAATTTTCCAGGCATGGGCATAAGAAAAGTGAACCAGGTTGGAGCCCTAAAGTCTTTCTAAGTGGATGATACAAAGGTGGCATTTGGGGAGGCCAGGACAGGTAGATTTTACAGGACAGTATACTAGGAAGAAAAAAGTTTACAGAAAAAAACTTTAGAATTCTGTAGAAGATTCTTATCATGTTTTCAACTGAGTACTGAAAACCTCATACCTATGAGAAATTAACAGACTGAAGAATGGATATTAGCAAACAATACTCAGAATTTCACAGTACTGAAAATAGTTCCTTTCATACCAACCAGAGTAGAAAATCTCCTAATTCATGGAAACTCATTGGCATAATGAGAATGAATTTGTCTGAATAATGAAGAAAAATAAGATCTAGTATAAATGTTGCTCTTGCTCCACCATCAAAGCTTAAGAATGAGGCCAAAACAGATCAACTAAAGTGCTTAAACTAGTGATAAAAGAGAAAATATTAAAACCAGCCAGAAGAAAATAGCATATTATATACAAATGAATAAAGAAAATAAAGACAGCAAACTTTTCTTTAGAAGCAGCTCAAACCAAAACACAGTAGAGCAACATTTTAAGAGTACTAGATGAAAAGCTGTCAGCTTAGAATTCTATACTCAGTAAAAATATCTTTCAAAAATGATAGTGAAATAGAGACTATTTTGCCACTATAAAATCAAGCATGAAAAAGTTGAGACTTTATCACTGGAAAATAGCACATTAAAAAATACTGAAGAAATTCTTTCAGAGGGAGGGAAAATAATACCAAAAAGAAATCTGTATATACTAAAAAAATGAAGAATATCAAAAAATGGTAGCTTTGTGAGTAAACATTTAAAAAATTGACTATCTAAAATAAAAACAACAAAATTCATTATGTAACTTATAACATGTAGAAATAGAATATGTAACAATAAGAACCAATGACTGGAAAAACAGAAATGGGTATATGCTATTTTATGTTTCTTTGTATGTGAAGAGATTTAATATTACTTGAAGAAAATAGGTTGTGACATGTTAACGTTGTATAGTATAAACCCTAAAGCAACCATAAAAGATAACTAAACAATTATAGACAATGAGTTAACAAAGACTATATAGAATCTTAAAATTTTCTCAATTAGTCCAAAAGAAGGCAGAAAAGAGAAAGAAAGAAAGAAGCAAACTAAAAATAGACCACAACAAAGGCATATAGTAAAAAGATTGGTATAAATGAAAACATTTCAGTAGTAACATTAAATATGAATGGGCTAAATATCTAAATCAAATGACTGATTATAATATTGAACATAAAATGTACACTCAACTCCATGCTACTTTAAGTAAAAGAACCCAAATAATAAAAAAAGGAATAAATGGATCATATGAGTAATTCAAAATAATCTAGAGAAGCAATATTAGTAATGTATATTATATGTTATACACAAACATATTTTACTAATATTTTATAAAATTTTAAATTTGTGTTTATTTTATTAAAATGTTTGCATCCTCTGCACTTGGTATTATGCTTTGCTGGTCTAGAGGTATAGGACTAAAGGGAATAATATGTCTATCAGTGCATACGAAAATAATTCTGTTGAACTAAAAGTTGTGACTGCCACCTGGTCACTTTGGGCCCCTCATACCTCTGAATCAACAGCAAAGAAGGAAGTTACTGTAATGCTAGGGGTAATTGCTACTGAATACTAGGGGAAAATTGGGTTGCCACTACAAG